CATTAAAGGAAAACAAGTTGTGCGGAGAAAACCAGGTACTGCTCTTGATCCTTAAAACTTAAAAGCTGCTGTAAAAACAAACATGGAGGTGGCGGAGTGATGGTATGGGGGTGTATGTGCGCCAAAGGAGTAGGAAAATTAGCATTTATAACTATAACATCCACAATGGACTATAAACTATATATAGACATTTTAAAGGAAAATTTGAAGCCAAGCACCGACAACTTGGGTTTGGGGTCCGAATACATTTTTCAACAAGACAACGACTCTAAACATTGTGCCCACAATACCAAACTTTGGCTGCTGTATAGCACCCCAAGACAATTGAAAACACCCCCGGACTTAAATCCGATTGAACACTTGTGGGATTTATTGGAACGCAGGATTCGTTAACATAATATAACATCGAAGGAAGTGCTAAAAAGTGTTATGATTGACGAATGTCATTAAACGTAAGGGTTATCCGACCTCCTACTAATATATTTTTTATAGAAGTCGCCTTGCTCTGTACGCAGATTTTTGCATAGGCATTATTTGAAGTATATTGGTTTAAATTTTTTTTATTAAGTAATGTTTATATTTTGTTAATAAATTTATATATTGTTAACATACAGAAAAAATATGAGTTGAAGTTTATCGCATTAGATTATCACTATTTTTTACCGCTTAAAGCATTCTACGTTCGTTGTACGCAGACTTCTGCTGCTGAGTGTATCTGCGAGCGTACGTTAAGCGGGCGTTGACTGTATTTGTATTATTTTGATTTGTATTACAAATCTTTTCTATTGTAATTTATTTTATTTTTATCAAAGTAATAGTGCGAATACACATACGAATAGTTTTTGGAGTCACTGTATGTATTTCATCCCTTTTTACGCGATTTAACTTGATTTAACACGATTTAAGGAATTTTAACGTAGAATAATTTTCACACTAAAATTCCGTGTATGTGCAAACAAGCGAAATCGGTATCTGACAATCCCCAAACTGTACGCGTACGCATCAATATGGACTTACAGGGGATATCCCTAATTTTATATCATCACACATCAGTTTTAACTAAAGTAACTTACGAGCAGAGCTGAGCAGTACCCGGATAAAAATACTCAAAAATGTACAGAGTGTTAAATAATTATCGTACCCGACGTCCAAGGTTTATTATATAAGAGGTTGTCTAGGTTCGTACGCAACCATATTGCGCATTACGTCACATGTGGAAAATAATACCGCCAACCAATTCAAATTAAACAAATGCACGGAGCACCACATGGCCATGAGGTTGCGTGCGCAATCCGTAATCGCTTACGTCACGAAACACTCCCGCTCTTGCCCATCGCCCACAAACTAAAACAAAGTATTGCAGCAAGGTCTATAGAACACAAGGTTACCTAATTCCCTATGTGTCTGTAGTATCGATTATTACCCCGCAGATTGACGTCATTGGTTCGATACAGTCAGAGTAAAATATAACCTATACGTGCCTATACTGTGGTACAGTCTATATAAAATATTTAAACCTTGCATCGTGTTGTGTTATTCATAGAATCAGCTACGTCACTGACCCACCTTGCCTCTCAGAGAAGGAGAATCGGCATTGGGTAACCTGATGTTCTATAGTTCTTGGTATTGCAGCATAGGTACTTAGACAACCTTTAATATATAAACCTTGCCCGACGTCATCATTGCAAATATGCAACCAACATCACAATGCAATACGCAAATATTGCAATACCAATACTGTGATATTGGTTGCATACTTGCAATGATGACGTCGGGTACGATAATTAATTAACACTCTGTACTCTGTCTATATTTTGGAATACCCGATACCCGGTACCTAGTACATTGGAATCAATTGTACTCGATACCCAATCGATCGTCAAATACTCTCTATTAGTACCCAATACCCGCATCGTATTTGAGTACATTATTCTCAGGTACTTCAACAAGTTTGAGCTTATCTGAATTTGCAGAGTATACTCGCCGCGCAGCGCTTAAACAGATTTGTGTTTCTTTCGCCTTATTAGTTATTGAACAACGTTCGGCGGACGAGATCACAACTACAAGAACCAGTCAGAGAAGGTTAAAAGTTTTGCGGGGTGGTTTTACGTAACTATTATTATTGTGTATGGGAAATATAGTTTAAAGAGTTGATAATTTTAAGGCTTTTTTGAAACAAATTGAAATATTGGATTGAATTGCATTTTTATATTTCATTCATCTAATCTTCTGTATGATCTTCATCTAGTGCATGGCTTGTCTTGTTAATTTTTTATTTTTGGGATTCTTCTGTAACCAAGAATTCTTTTCTTCCCAATGGTATTCGTTATAGTCTGATTTTTGGAAACATTTTTATATTGTATTTCTTTACTTATAGGTAGGACCATGCAGATTTCAAGTGATGCAGAACCAGATCCTTTCCATAATTCATCAGAAAACGATGAAGACTATGTCTCTAGGACTAAAAAGCCATCTGTATCCGCCGAAATATCACACTATTGTAAAAATATTCAGCCATCGACTACAACTTCTAGGGACAATGAAAGCATGCATTCCCACTACTACATCCACATCTTTATCAACTATGACTAGTAATATTGAAAAGTGCAAGAACACCCCAATGCTGGACGGACCATTTCCCACTATTTTTCAACCATTTTTCTTGGTTGAAACGTGTGACAAGAATTTGCAGTCGAAGCTCTGTGTCAATTATGTTTTCTTTCAAAAACGATTATTAAAGGCTCTGCCGAAAGTACGACAAATTTTGTTAAGCACAGCAAAAAGAGTGCATGGAAACAAATCCTACAACGACTTCTGAGTCATGAATCCAAAAAGTGTGGTCACGCAGAAGGAGTTTGAAAAAAAGAATATTGTATTTCATTATTAACACTATGTCCCTTATGTCAATCATCGAAAATAAAAGCAAGACTATGTTTGTAGCACCGCTGACATATGGTCCACCAAGACAAGAAGTTTCATGAGTGTTACATTGCACTACTATCCGTGCAAAAAGTCAAGGCCCCTCACTTTAGAGATCGATATCTTCGTAAGTAAACATTCCTGCGTATCACATGTTAATTTGGAAATTTTCGGGTCCGCGGTTTTTCTTTTATCGCGAGTTAAGTGAAAGAAGTACCCAATTTTTGAGAGTGCCAGCAACTTTGTCTACTTTTGGATTTTTGTTCTCCAAAACTATTTGACGAAAAAATTTCAAATTTGAACTGGTGGTAAACCGATGTGTTCTTAATGTGGGGCATATTTTATTTTTTCGATATTCTATATGGTTTCGCGGAAAATCGCGGTTTAGTAGGATGCGATTGTTTCGAAAACGACCAAAATATGTCAAATAATGTCGGTTGTCGGATTCCGTTATCAGTTTTTCAAAATTAGAGCTCCCTAATTTTTTAAGAGATTTAATGGAATTACAAATTAAAGAGAAACAGAAATAAGCTATGCGGGAAGAGAAGGGTTCCGTCCAATCGGAACAGATGGTGCGTCCCAGACAGTACGTCACGACTTTATCTTACCTACATAAAGAAATAAGGCGCGTCCTGTCTGGGACACACCATCTGTTTCGATTGGACGGAACCCCCGTCACCCCGCACAGATTACTTCTGTTTCTCTTTAATTTGTAATTCTATTAAATCGCTCTTAAAAAATTAGGGAGCTCTAATTTTGAAAAACTGATAACGGAATCCGACAACCGACATTATTTGGTCAAATCCGCGAGGAAATCCACCCAGCCATTTTCGACATAACGGTGTCTTACGAAACCGCGATTTTCCGCGAAACTGTATGGAACATCAAAATACTAAAATATGCCACTCATTAAGAACACATCAGGCTACCACCTGTTCAAAATTCAAATTGTTTCCTACGATAGTTTTCGAGAAAAAAAAACGCTAAGTTGACAAAGTTGCCAGTACCGTAAAAAATCGGGTACTTTTTTCATTTCACTCGCGATAAAAAGAAAACCGTGGATCCGAAAATTTTCAAATTAACATACACACCCGGTATGTTAATTTGAAAATTTCCCTCAGAAGTGGCTCACCCCCGTATTTTTTTTTATTATTAGTGATATAAGAAAACCATTTAGAGTGCATAATTAGGCCATTAAAACGGATTATACATAAAATATACGATACATGAAGATACGACATGAAATCACACTCTTTGTACTTCCGGTTATACCGGATGTGAGTACTAATTTCGCTATTTTTTTAAATCTATAAATTTTTTTTCTTCAGTTGAGTATACAGCATAAATTCACATAACTTTTACTTGAAAAAATTTACACGATCACTTATAATTTTTGAAAAAAGAAGTTATTTTTGTTGTTTTTCAACATTTTAGTATCTTCGAGAGACAAACCGGTTCTTTCTCACATTTCTAATTATTCCTATCTTTTTACCTTCCAGATCACCTGACCTCACACCTTTAGATTTTTTTTTATGTGGCAAAATCAAAAATGAGGTATGTAATACACCTGTAAGATCTTGTGAGGTATTAGAAAATCGTGTTAGAAACTGTATTACTCAAATATCTCCGCAGGAATTACGTCGAGTTGTTAGATCGACAATACGGAAGATACAATTATGGTAAAATCGAGGAATTTGTACTTATAAATTGAATTAAATTTACTTGTTGTTTCGAGTTTTTCTTTTAAAACTAATTTAATACAACTGTTAATTTACACCATTATTAAAAAAGAACCACTGACTAAAGCATAGCAGTGATCATTGCTCGAGAAATACCAAATGAAGAGGAACATAACGTAGTTTATACTATTAACCTAGCTACTATGCGATCGTGAAAATTTTTTCATGTAAAAGTTATGTGAAATTATGTTGTCTGCCAAATTGAAGAAGAAAAAATTATAGATTTAAAAAAATAGCGAAATTAGTACTCACTTCCGGTTATACCGGAAAACACAAAGAAAATAATTTCCTGTCGTAATAATCCGTTTTAACGGTCTAATTATGCATTCCAAATGGTTTTCTTATATGACTAATAATAAAAAAAAATATGGGGGTGAGCCTCTTTTGAGGGACACCCGGTATGTTACGTAGTAAAAATGTTCAGTGTTTACAACAAACTTTGTCGCAATTTTTTTTATCGAGCGGTGGCGAAAATATCGATCTCTAAATTGAGAGCCCTTGACTTTTTGCACGAATAGTAGATAGACGCAAACTTGGAGAGAAAGTCAGTAACTTTAGCTTGCAAAAGATTCTCTGGCATCCATGTCTACAAGAACATTGAAGAAATCCTTGAAAACATCAATTTGAATAAGTTTTACTCACAACAGTTTTAAATAAAAGCAAATTAAGAAAAATGAATTTACCCACTTTAATCACAATTGTTTAGCCCATTCTTCTGAGCCTATTCATCCCTTACTTTCATATAAATACCATATCAATTTTTACGTAAAATTTTTAAGAACGTTTGTCGTGTAAAAACAGAATTGAGTATATTGTTATTGAACTAACACTACAATTAGTAAATTCGGGGCTAAACTTGATTAAGATTTTTCTCTTATACTATGAACCATATTAAGTCTCAAACTAACAACATTACAAAACACGAATACAATAAATTAAGCATTTGGTAATTCAAAGTGTGAAATAGTACTTGCCTACCCACCCATGTAGCAGTTCTCTTAGATTTTACCGTCCTTGTCTTAATAAGAATAACATCTAATTTTTCTATATAGTATTATTGAACGTCTAATTTTTTTCGTTTCTTTAATTATCACTTAAAGCAATCTTATCCAGTATATTGATATGTAGCTGAAACTGAATGCATTTGCCTTGGAGTATGTTGTAATCGGTTAATATGACAACTACGACACATTAAGCGTCCTTCCAAAGGATAACAACGCTTATCTGGTTCATCAGTAAGTTGCATTCCACATTCTTCGCATATGTAACAATCGACATGGAAATCTTTATCCATTGAAACAACACGAACGGTTTCTTCTGTACCCTCAACAGGAGTTATACCTTTAATTTAAAACAAAATTAGTGATTAATTAATTTCTTGTTGTTTTTTTACCTTTTCCGCATGATGCACATTTTGGGGCAAACATCCTATGGTAATCATTGACACAATAAATTTTATTATCAACATCCACGGTAAATGGGACTCCATCGAGACATTCGTTACAAACGCAACAACGAAAACAACCTGGGTGATAAGATTTACCCATTGCTTGAAGAATCTGAAAAGAATATTAAATCAAGAAATGTTAAAAAATGAGGTTGTAATTTACCATATCCATGATTAGGTGTCCACAAATAGCGCATTTTTCGGCGGTTTGTTGAAATCCGGAGTACTTCAAAAATAGGAATTTCAAAAAAAGTTAATGTTTAAAAAATGTTAGGTTAGTAAATTTGACATTAAAAAATTTTAAGGTTAAGTTTTAATTACTTTTAATTTCTTTTTTATTTTTCGAACTTTTTTGTTACTTACCAAATAATCTTCTTCGCAATAAACTCGACCATGAACGTTATAGAAAGCTTTTCCGCGTAAAGCTCGGCCGCAAGAACAACAAATAAAGCAGTTGGTGTGGTACAAATTGCCCATTGCTTGACACGCTTGACCAGCTCCCGTTACTTTTTCGCCACAAGTATGACAAATACCTAAACATTTATTTCAGGAATTAGTACTTACATCATTTTAAAAATAAGTGCAGTAAAACCTCGATATAACTTCGGATATAAGGGACAAAATATTTTTAATTCATACTATTAATATTAACGCGTGTGAAGTTGGCCATAGATTTCAGCCATAGATTTTAAACTGAAAAAAATTCGTGATCGGGGTATTTAATCGATCTAATTTCAACAGCATCGTACTCCTGGTGGCCTCTTGCTTCAGATTCGAAATAGTATACAGGTGCCCATTATGTATGGAATATAGTATATATCTTGATAGGTATCAACTTCATAAAAAAACATTTTATACAAAAGTTGTTTAATATTTTATTTGCCATAATAAGACAGCATTCAATTGTTTTTATTTCAGAAAACAAATGAGCAACGAATAACACTTGAAGTTTTTTAAATGGCAATGTACCCTTTCGTTAGGCTCATTTGATAGAGATTTCTTTTCTCTTTACGATGACGTAAAATTTTAGTACCCTTGTATCAGAAAATTTTTGAAAACATGTAAAAATTGCTCAAAAATTGCTTTTTAAATTCTCTCAAAAATAAAATAAATTTTGACAAAGTAGGAAAATAGGTATGTAGCAGTTGGTAACACCCTAACACTTGAAAATAGAAATTTGAATTGACAATTAGAAACTGTCAAAACACAAAATATATTCACCTGACAAACATGTTTCATGTACACCACCCAAAATAAGAGAAATTGCTCAGAGTTCAATGTCCTCATCATTGTGAACCTTGTATTCGATGTTAAGAACGTGTTTAAACATCCATAGACAAACATTGTCACATTGACAACTAGAAAAATTAATGACCCAATGTCACCAACTTGAACTGGTTCCATAAAATGTTACTAAAATCTCATTACAGCATCGGAT